TATCGAAACATCTTGTGGCATCCAAACATTCTGTCTGTACACCGTCTGTGAAACCTCTCCTTGCGGATTGCGGACATGGTACCCCCCGATGTGAAGATGAAGTTTCCAAAACCCCAGGAACAAGAAGCTACCCCAAACACTCCGTGTATGCCATATATGCCTACATTGACCCCCAAAACCACCCCAACTGATCGGCATATATGGCAGTCCCATGGAGTGTTTGGGTACTATAAGGGGCTCCAGGAGCCATCGGACGCGAACCGAACGGGGCTCCTGGCATCGCTACGGACGGAACAAGGTTCGCTACAGTTGGAACGGATCATGATCACGCCATGGGGCTGACCCACGCTCGGATCGTCGAACGGGCCCATCCGGGGGTGGCGCACTCAACTGTGGTGGGAGGAAGACCTCTCTTTGCTGGTTTTTCTCTCCAACTGTTCAGTGTGTTTAGGGGACTTGGAGATACAGTATGAAGGATGTTCATTTAGTTCGTCTCTTCTTGGCATCAAGGCGTGGATTGCAGGACAGGAATCTGTGTGATTGATCCTGCATTTATAAAGAAAACTATGTCTCAGTAAAAAAAGGAAGATGGTCAACTACCACAGCCATTCTCATCGCCATTCTCTATGCTCGAGCGGCTTGTGAACTGACCGCGGGGATGTCGAATGGACCAGGCGGTTCTGCGTGTTGGGGGGCGGAGGCAGGAAGGAGCGTTTGTGCGTTTGTGAGGACTTTGAATTCCAGGTTTGTCATGATTCACTGCTTAGAGCTGTGTGATGTTGTGTGATGTCTTTCAGATTCCGTATAGCCTGGTGTCGTTTTTGTTGAGCTGAAATATGTTTGAAGGAACTTCCTTCACCACCCATCCGATGGGACTTCTTACCAATTCGAATTCCAAGTGCCTGGCAGTGCCTGGGTATGGTCATTCAGCACCTCTTTTCGATGTGTTACGCTCCAGCCTGTGCCGGCAGAGGGCCCCGCCCACCGGTCGCGGCATTCGAAGCGCCACTGGTCGCTGCTCGGGTGCTCCCCACTGGTCCTGTGCTCCCCCATGAAGCATTGGGTGACTCCAACTGCAAGAACCAACTATGCAAACATTCTGCCTAACTTGGCTGGTTTTGCAGATGAACATCTATCTAAATTCATCCTTACAGGTCCAAACGTAACATGTTCTTCTTGCCACTATAGGACTATAGGTGAATGAATGTGTTTGACACGCGGCAAGCTGGATGGTCAGTTCATCACCGAAAGGTTTTCCGACGGAATCGGACTCGAAAAAGACTCCAGCAGCCTGTCCGGACGCCTGCATCCGTCACGGAAAAAAGGCCCATCCCAGAATAGGCAATCAAGGAAAATCAATGAAAACACATGACCCTTAAGATGCTTGATGGCCCTTCCATTTGGGGATTAACCTAAATCCTTTTTCATGGAAGAGAGGATCCCCGCCGAAAGGACTGTCGGACTATTTAGCAAAGATGCTGTAGGTCTTGGAGACCGATCTTGGACCTGGTCTGACTGGCACTCGCTCGTGCGGTCCTGCATGGTCCTGCAGAAACGTGCGTGCCCCCGAACCGCGTGCGCCAGGCGGAATGAGGGTCCGCAACAATCCGCCATGCTCTCAGTAGATGTGTTTCTTTGGTACCTGGACCTATATCTTTAGGGTCTGTCCGCACTTACCTGTAACAGTCAGTAAACAATAATCATTGTTGAACAAGGCCTGCAACTGAAACATCATCATCCACTGGCAACCAGGTAATAGATAGACCCAATATTATATCTTGGATGCTTTTGAAGGAGGCCGTTTACAATCCCCAAACGCTTCTCCATTGCCCCTCAGTCCCGCTCGAATTTCCCGACATCGACTGCGAAGACGATCATGGTCCGTCGAAGCCAAAACACCATCCCAGACACTCCATGTCTGTCATATATGCCGGCAAAGACCCCCGACTTCAAACCACCCCAATGTAGGTAAATTATGGTAGTCCCATTTGTCGTGTTTGGGCATGGTTTTGGGTACTCGTTGGGTACTAAGCTGGTGCTCCAGCTGTGCTCTCAGCACCAGCTTGGTGTTCACCGGCCCTCAGGTTCGGCGGCGGCGGCGGCCAGCCCGGCCAGCCCGTTCGGGGCCTGAGTCATCGGCCCTTCCGCTTCCGCGCGGTCGCCGGAGTTCACCGGCCTGGCCTGAGTGGTTGGGTTCCAAAGATGGGAGCTAGCGCAGTACATGAAAGCTGGAACGAACATGGTGGTGGTTTCGGGTTTAGGGCATGGCGTGAAGGCTCCGAGTTAACGAAGACATACCATCTGAAGACACCAAAGCGGGGGGTTCCAAGAGTGAGGGTTTGCTCCACCCACCAGGTTGGCATGGATCCGGGGGCGAGCTCTTGCTGGATCCTGCTTGTTCGAATTCGTGAATGGGCCTGTGTTTCACATGGTTCACTTGAAGCGTGATCTTGGTGTCAGGGAAGAAACTGAGAAGCTAGTAGAAACAAGAAGCTATTAAGAGAAACAAGAAGCTAGTAGAAACAGTCCAGGTGTCAGGGAAGAAACTGAATTTGGGGATCGACTTGCATCGGAGATGGGTGAACAATTCTACTGACAACCCTGCTGACCATTTTGTATTCTTCCTGCGAACGCCAATACCTGCTGCTTGAGAGGCTGGTTCAGCCTGGATTTTCTGTGAGGTATATGACCGTATATGAAATTTACAATGTTGGGTACATTTTGTTCTCAAAATCAGCCTTGTCATGCTTCTCCCTATTTTTGTCCTTACTGCTTTGGTCCTGGCCCGAGTTTCAGTCTTTGTGAAGACATCCAAGTACATGGACTACAGCCGGACTTCTTGCGATTTCGGGATGCCTTCGATCAGGAGCCCAGATCCAGTGCCCAGATCTAGATCCAGTGCAGCGCTTCGGCTTTTTCAGCATATCGTTGCTTTACTCCATCAGCTGCTCAACACCAAAGACACACCGTGCCCGGTGTGGCGGGCGATGCTTTTGGGACGGAAGACGACGACGGCCCGGCAGGCCGGCATCGCCTCAGGTGGCGCAGCTCTCGAACCTTGACAGCCTGTTCAGGTATGAGAAGCCACTCACCGACTTGGAACGCTTTCCACGGACAACGCGCTCGGTTCGATGGGATGACCACGAAGTCACTTCTGGTGGATGCGAGTTCTCCATCGCGTCTCACCTCATGTCGCCCTCTTCGGCCTTGCCACACACGTCCTGTGAGGAAGCCCAAGCCTTCTCTCGATGTCGCCCAACAGCCCTCTCCGTCTCATCTGAAAAACATCGGACGTCAGCCCCACCAACGCCCGTGGTGCAACGTGTGACCTCAAAGTGCAGATCAGGTGGTAGCATTTTGTGAACCATTCAGACTTCGTGGCAGGCGCATGCCTTTGTTTTCACCTTGAAGCGCAGTCCTCATGGCAAACAAAAACACGTTGTAAACCTCGAAGTTCAGAGTTCGTGGCAACATGTGGCAATTGCAGCACTGTGTGAACCTCGAACCAAGCATGCTGTGAACCTCTTATGTGTGTGCGCGGGCTCTCATAGGTGTGTTCTCACAGGTGTGCTCCTTTATGTGTGCTCTAATGTGTAAGCTCTCATGTATGTGCTCTCCCATGCCCGCGCTCTTATATTTGTCTTGACAGGTTTGATGAGTTGATGGGTTACGAATGGCCGCATGACACCACGCTCAAGCAACAAGGGGAATGGGTGTAGGTCTCGGCAGCGGCGGTTCGCCATACTTGCTGGTCGTTCATTTTGTTGGTCTTGGACTTTTGGGTTGGAGCATTGCAGAACAACGGCAGCTCCGCAATCAAGTCTGGGAACTTCAGGCCACTGTTGAGCACCATCATTCAGATTTGCTGCCAGTATCGACTTCATCAGATCCTCCAACCCCCTCGCCGGTCGGAAACCCCTCGAGCTTGCCAGAGTTTCCGGAGGACAGCTTGAGGGTACCGGCAGGGTTCAAGGTTGGGGCCAGTGGTTGGTTGGTTGGAGTTGGGATTTCCGCATTGGGCTTTTTGTTGTTGGCACTTCTGCTCATTGGAGTTTCCATTTGGCGGGCCCGCCGATTTACAGGACCTATTGAGGAACCTGGTACACCCGATTCGAAACACCAGCTGGCACAGAGGCAACTTGCGGAGTTGCGCCTGAGGAGGCATGGCTTTGGCAAATCGCCAGGTCCTGATCGAGTATGATGTTGGTGGAGGCCGTTTGCTCCACGAGCGCTATGTCCTGGAGCACTACCAGAACGACACCTATGCAATAGTGACGCCAGACCGTGATGTCTATCTGGAGGATTTGACAGTGTTGAACTCCGACATCAGGAGCATGATGATCCGTCCCGGTCCAGGGATCTTGCCTGGGGGGGTGACAGCTGCTGAGGTATATGCCTTACCAGTCTTCACCATCAATGACATGGCAGGTTTCAGGGACGAAGCAAGACGCCTCATCGACCTCCAACGAGGAGCAGCACCGGCAGCCCCCCCAGCAGCTGGGGCCGCAGCAGCCGCCGCAGCACCGGCTGTCACCGCCTTTGATCCGGAGGCTGGATTTCCATCTGGTGAGTTGAAGTGGTTGGCAGCTGAGTGTTTGGGGGGCTATTGTTATGGGCAAGAGGTTGCAGCGGTGACACAACCATTGGTCAAGGGCAGCAAGCATGTTCAAGACCTCCCTGGAGGGCTGCGCATTTTTGTTGAGTGTGTGGCGGGGGAGGACTACTTTGCTTTCCGTCAGAGGCCATCGTTGAACGACCACCGAATCCTTCCCATACAGTTGAACCCAATGGGAACTCCAGAGAGAAGCCTTCAAGACGTGGCCCAGCTCTGCAAGGAGTCCTAGGTGAAATGGTCCCTCACGGGACCGAGGATTGCTCGTTGGTGTGTGGCCTACCTGGCAGTCGAAAACTTAGGCTTCGAGGGCCACCACGAAAGACTGAGGACGGTCACCAAGGCGGATGCTAGCAGTTGGGGCATTCAAGAGCACTTCCAAGTTTCCATGGCCGTCAGACAGGCCTTGTTGGTCGACCAGTTGGACGCCTTCAATTTGTTGAGCATTGAGGTACAATTCAGGCGGCTACAAACCATCGAGTTCTCCTACTCCGAGAAAGCACGTGAACTGGAGGCCAAATCTGTGGGCGGGAGGCTCTCCCTCGAAGAGCAAACGACGTTTGGCGGGGTGACTCGCCAATTCTCCACCCTGATGATTTGTCCAGAGTTGTTGACCCACGTCAAAGAAGAAACAGAACGGGAGGCATCGTTGGCCAAGAATTTGAGGAAGGCTCGTGAGGAAAGGGAGGCTGCGAGGCGCAAGGGCGGCAAGCAGTCGGAGAACCCTTGAACTACAAGATGCAGGCTGGTGAAGGTCCTAGCTGGCCTGTTGAGCAATCAGGACTTGACCACACCCGGAAGACAGACAGAGATATTTTTCCTTTACCTCATGTACAGCATACATTGCCACCCTTGGGACTTTTCTCGCGGAAGAGCCGTCAGAGGATCGGCCGGAGGAGGCATTTTGAGGAGGAGGTTGAGCACACGGTCCAATCGCTCAATGCGATGTACGGCCGGCCTGACAAGGGTTTGCGAGGCGGAGTTCATCTTCCACAGCAGGCCCCTAGCCGGGCTCAGACACGTTTTCTTGAATTCATTGAGCAAGCAAACAGGAGGGTTGGGGCTCCCCCTGACCTCTCCGGCCCAGAGGCCCTTGAGGAGCTTCGGGTTCAAGAGGGGTATGCCGAATTGCCTACGGCATCGCCACTCGGGTCCTTCGATCCCAAACTTGTTTCATTGCCGGCGGGAGACAAACAGCCAGTGCCACTCGCTACGTTGTGGGGCAAGGACGGGCAACAAGAGGTGGAGGATTTCACTCGCACTCAGACGCTTGGGGCTGCAGAGGCTCATAGAAGGCTGGAGGCGAGTGGTGTCGTGAAATGTTATGAGGATCCACAACTCAGAGACCCCGTCAAGTACAGATCGTTTATACAGACATTGCATCGTTTGAACCTGGTTTCATTTCAGCGTGAAGCCCCAGTGGAGAGAGTTGGCATTTTCTTTGTCAAGAAGAAAGGCGGAAAACTCCGCCTGATACTGGATTGCCGCAGGGCCAACTGCTGGTTTGAGGAGCCGGAGGGAATCCACCTGGCCACAGGTGATAGCATTGGTCGGTTGGAGTTGTCCGAGGAGGCACCCCTTTATGTTTGTTCAGCAGACCTGCAAAATGCTTTCTACACTATGGCAATGCCGGAAGCGTTGAGGCCGTTTTTTGGTCTGAGGCGAGTCACGGCAGAGAGCATGGGCCTGACAACGTTGGGGGGCAGCCCACTTCGTCCGGGTGACTGGATATACCCTGTGGTGTCTGTCATTCCTATGGGATGGACGCATGCCATGGTGTGGTGCCAGCGGATCAATGAGAGGATCTGTGAAGAAGCAGGGCTGACGAACTCAGAGCGGCTCAGAGATGGCAGCAGTGTTCCCTCCGGTGATTTTTGGCACATTCAATATGTTGACAATCTCCATGTTTTTGGTACAAACAAAGCAATTGTCGAGGAGCGTTTCTGGCGGGCAGTTGAGGCCCTTCGGGGCCGTGGGCTCACAGTGCACGAGATAGAGGTGAATGAAGGGGAATGTCAGGTGCTGGGCTGGGCAGTCGATCGGGCTGGACTCTTCGGCCCGACCCTCAAAAGACTATGGAGGGCTAGGCTGGCTGTCCGTGAGATCTTGAGGAGAAATGCTGCAAGTGGCCAACAGTTAGAGAGGCTGCTCGGGCACATCACCTTCATCTCCCTGTGCCGCAGGGAGGCTCTATCAGTGCTGGGTGAGACCTACACTTTCACCCGGAAGAACTACACCAGAGTTGCGCCTTTGTGGAAAAGTGTGAGGAAAGAGCTGAGCACATGGGACGGGATCTCACCCCTGATTTTTGTCAACCTGCGTGCACCATGGTCCACCACCTTGTACTCCGTTGACGCCTCGGACTGGGGAATGGGAGTCACCACTTCAAACATCACCCGTGACGAAGCTTCGATGTTGGGGAAGTACACAGAGAGGTGGAGGTTCAAAGACCCGCTGGCCAAGAATCCAAGACGTCATGCACTGGCGGCTCAGGCAGTTGGCGCTACAGCGGAAGGAAGAGAGCAGGCGGAGACTTGGGCCGTATTTGGTGTGCCGGAGTTGGCGTCGAAGTTTCAGGCTGTTGGTTTTGAGTTTGTTGACAGATCATGGAAACTGGTTGGTAGGCACCGATGGTTGCGTGAGGAGAGCATGCCGGTTTTTGAAGCTAGGGCCACACAATATGCTGTTAGGCACTCATTGAGGACTGTTGGCAACCAGCAAACTAGGTTCGTGATTTTGACAGACTCTATGACAGCAGCAGTTTCCTTTGACAAAGGACGATCCCAAGGGTTCCGATTGAGAAGAGTTCTTCAGCAGACAGCGGCGTTGTGTTTGGGCTCAGGGCTCTGTTTCAGGTCTCGTTGGATCCCGTCAGAGTGGAATCCAGCTGACCGTCCCAGCCGGAGTGGATGGACACCTTCCACACCGAGGCTCCTTCAGGCAGATGATACACCGCCAACTGGGAGTACAGGCCACATGGGACAGACCCTCAAAGAAAAGCCGCTGCTCAAAACCGAAGAGCAGTGGGGTCTCCACGCCCACGGGACCGATACCACCCATGGCCCCGTTGACATGGGACATAGAGATGAGCACCGCAAGTGGCGGGGCAAAAAGGAAAGAGAGGGCGGCAAGAAGAGCAAGAGCAAAGCAGGCGGATCCACAGCACACTCTCCGGAACAATGCAGTGGGGCCCCGGACTTTGCAGCAGTACAACAAGCATTGGAAAGATTTTGTCGAGTGGACAGGCTGTCTGGTGAGCGAGGCTGCGAGTCTCCCAACGATAGACAACCACCTTGCCGACTATCTGGAGATGCTTTACCACAAAGGAGAAGATCTGAGCCAAGCAAACTATGCCACGGCTGCAGTGATGTTCAAGGTCCCAGGCACAAAGGGCCTACACCAGCTGCCGAAGTCACAGCAGGCGATGAAGGGCTGGAGGCGATTGTGTCCGGCTCGGAGTCGCTTGCCAGTTCCATACGAGGTGGTTTGTTTGCTCAGTCAAGTGGCCTTAAAGAGCGGGAAGGTGGAGCTGGCCATTGCCCTCCAACTGGTGTTCCTACTCTACCTGAGGCCATCCGAGATCACAACACTGAGGGTGCAAGACATAGTGCCCCCAGTGAAGACCAGGGGCCGGCGCTACCCCCACTATGCCGTGCTGCTACACCCCACCGAAGCGGGGATTCCTTCAAAGACAAAGCAATGGGACGAGATGTTGACATTGGACCTCCCACATCAACAGTTTGTGGGCCCGACATTGTTCAAGATCCTGAACCTGGCAAGCCGACCAAAGGACGACCCGGCTTTCAGTGTCACTCTGGAGGAGATCAACGACTTCATGGGTCAGCAATGGAAGGCACAGCGGCTCACCAGCCTCGGCCCTCCTCACCTTTACCGTTTGAGGCACGGGGGGGCGAGTTTCGAGGCGGCTGGCAAGCACCGCGACATGGTGGGAATCCAAGCCAGGGGCCTTTGGCAGACAGTAAAGTCGGTCAAGAACTACGAAAAGGGCGGCCGGTTGCAGCAACTTTTCGCCGCCCTCCCAAAGGCAGTTCAGAAGCGCTGCACCGAGGCTTTCCGCGACATGGCCAAAAGTTTCCGCAGCCTGCATTGAGCAATAGAGTGGTTTTGCATTTTGCAGTGTTTTTGGAGATCTTTAGTGGTTGCGGTCGCCTTGGGAAGAGCATACATCGTGTTTGTGGGTGGCCTGTCTTATTTTGGGACATTTCCTATGGCCCGGAATATGATTTGACCAGCCGGTTGAATCAACAGAAGATCCTGCATTGGCTTCAGACTGGCCAAGTTCGTGCTGGTCATTTGGGGACACCGTGCAACTTCTCGAGGGCCAGGGATCAACCCGGGGGACCGCCACCCCTCCGGAGCGACAAGTATCCCATGGGCCTGTCAGGCCTAAAACCTCACGATGCGCTCAAGGTCAAGCTTGGCAATGCGCTGCTCTTTTTCTCCTGCCGTGTTTTGTTGATGGCACTCCACTATGGGATTGCAATGACGCTGGAAAACCCCCGGAGATCGCGACTATGGATCACTAGCAGTGTCCAGCGTCTCATGCGTAGACGTGCAGCTTGCATAGCACATGTTGATTTTTGCATGTTTGGCACCCCATGGAAAAAGCCAACAACAATCATGGGCATACACATCAATTTGGATTTGCTTCAACCTTATCGCTGCATCGGCACCAAGTGGGCCTGCTGCCTTTTGAGTGGGAAGCCTCATGTCCCTCTTACTGGCCACGCCCCCAATGGTTGTTGGTACACAAAGCTGGCTGAACCTTATCCACTCCGGTTCACTCGTCTGTTGGCACAGGCCTTCTTGAATACGGACCTCGCTAGCATTGCCCGGGATTTCAGTCGATACTTGAGTTGACGGCCTAACCAGAGGGCTTCTCAAACTTGGGTCGCAATTTTGGGCATTCGATGAGGACACCTTCGAAGTTCTGAGCTTTCAGCAGCGC